GAGAGTCACTGCGCGGTGCGAGGCCGAGGGCTTTGGGAAACCTTGCCGTCGTGCGCTCCTCGATGTCCCTGCGGGCTCGTCCGCATGCTCCGCCTCCCTTTGCCCTTCTTGTGCCTCTGTTGCACGCGCTGCCTGTTTTGTATGTGCGTGTGCGTGCTATCCCTGTTTCTGCACGTGCGCTCCAACGCGACGACTCTCGCTACCCTACAGGGCACTTCTTAATACATATCATTGTTCATAAATATCGGATTTATAAGAATGATTAGATTATGGATAAATAGATGCACGAACTCATCGCTGTTTTTGTAACTCAATCCCTGCATGTTTAATACACGATCCGCACGCGGAGCATGTATTGAAAACTGCCCTGTACGCTGGTGCAGCGCGGGAGGAGGGGGAGGGAATAGACGAGCGCGTTCCACTGCTCGCAAAGTAACTGCTCGAAAGTTCCCTTCGACATCGAAGTAAGAACCCCTAAGTGCAACACTGTTTGGGGAATGAACATAAACTTCCAGAGGTCCGCGCGGATGTCTCCGATCGAAGCTGGACCCCCTCGGATCATGCGCTCCACGCGCTGGTGGCGGCGCCGGAAGCGCTGCCAGGGGGCGCAGATCCGAGAAATCTGCGCGGATCTCCGAAAGTTTCTGCCAAACTACAGTCGGGCTGCTGAAATAAGGAATGCGGCTTCAAAAAAGCCTGGGTACACGAGAAGGGCTGGAGGAGCAACCGCGGAAGGACGTTAGGAACACCGAGCCCCTTCCGACCCCAAACGGTTCCTCATCTCAGCGTCTTGGCTGTATGTCATACTCTGCTCCCCGAGGAAACGGCACGACGTGAAGCTGCTGGCAAAACCGCGGGCGTCGGTGGTTGGTGGGGGCTGCGGCAGAGCCCGCCGCCGCCGCCGCCGACGCAGCGACCATCCCCGCCGCCTCTCCTTGTGGAAGGGACGACGGGAAAATCCTCCTCGTTCTCGGCCCCCCAGGGCCCACGCCAGCCCCCGGAACCTTCTGAAAACCAGAGGCCCCGTCCCAACCGTTCCCCGCCGCCGTCGACGCAGCGACCATCCCCGCCTCCTCCGTGCGGAAGAGAACGACGGGGGAAAATCATCCTCGCTCTCAACCTCCAGGGGCCCTTGCCAGGCCCCAGGGCCTTCTGAAAACAGAGGCCCCGTCCAAACCGCTCCCAACACACCAGCGTGCCTTCCCTCAACATCGGGCGATGGCACTTGGCGGGGAACTGCGTTTCTCTTAGGCCACAATTGCGGCCAAATGTTCCCAGCGCCTCGGATGAAGTAGCATGCGAAGCTCAAAGCTGCCAAGACAAAACATGGCCCGCCTTCGTGCCCTCGGAAATCGACGCCATGATGGAATTAAGGTCTGCGTCTACGACGCCGCGCTTGTTCAACTCGATCATGTACCTGATGAGTGGTAGGGCTGAATCCCATGACAAGTTCTCGGACAACACCAACAAACTCATTGACCGTGAAGCATGAGCGAAACATGGATCCTCGCGCTGAGCCGGGGTGCATGACGCGCACGCACTGCGCGCCGCACCGCCGCGAGCCCTGTCCCGAACAGTTACGCGTCTTTTCTCATTCTCTGGCGCAAGGCTGCAAAACTATCGGTAGGTCAGGCGTGTCCCCCTACAGGGGGATGTTGGGTGAAAAATAAAACAAAAACTCAAACCATACTCCCGAATGGGCAGGAATAGTCCAAAAAACGTCCCCTGACATGTTTTTGCTACTTTTGAATATTCCCCCTCTTGAGGGACAGGCCCGACTTCGAACTATCGATCTGCATCATCAGGCCGCCCGCGCCCGCTCCTGCCTCCAGCTCCCTGCCAGCCTGGGGACGTGGCCACCTGTGGTCCGCCGCGGCTCCCCTGCATCCACCTCGCCCTGCTCCTCGTCCCCCCTTCGTCTCTCCGTCCCTCCTCTGCCCCTGCTCCCTCCGCAGCAGCCTCGGCTCCACTTCCTCTCTCTTTCTCTCTCCTCCTCCTCCTCCTCCTCCTCCTCCTCTCTCCTCCTCCTCCCCTCCTCCCTCTCCTCCTCCTCCTACCTCAACCTGCTCCCCTCCTCCCTGCTCCTGCTCCTCTCCTCCTCCTCCTGCTCCTCCTCCTCCTCCTCCCTGCTCCTCCCTGCTCCTCCCTGCTCCTCCTGCTCTCCTTGCTCCTCCTCCTTCTCCTCCTCCTCCTCCTCCTCCTCCTCCTCCTCGCCTGCTCCAGCCGCGGCGCCGCGCGGGCAGAGGAGGAGGAGGAGGAGGAGGAAAAGGAGGAGGAGGAGGAGCAAGGAGGAGGAGGAGGAGGAGGAGCAAGGAGGAGCAGGGAGGAGCAGGGAGGAGGATGGGGAGGAGGGAGGAGGAGGAGGAGGAGGAGGAGGAGCACGAGGAGGAGGAAGAGGAGGAGGAAGAGGTGGAGGCAAGACAGACATACGTGTTGCACTGCGGACACGTCGCCAACATCTGGGCCTCCCCGCTCCGTCTGGGGCAGACGCGGCGGCACGCGGGGCCGACGCCGGCGCGGCGCAGAGAGGAGGCAGGGCAGGACCACGTACATTGCTCGGAGCGCGTCCAGAGAGAATGAGAACCGCATGGACGAGACCGACGTCATGGTGCGGCTGGCGCACGGATGCGTCCCAGGACCTCCGGGGGCGGAGTCTGGCGCCCCTCGCTCCTGGCGCCCGCAAGACGGAGCGGCAGGGCGCCTCAGACATCTCTGGGGATCTCGAGACTCTTTGGAGCTCATCACTGTCGCGATCGACTGCATCTCCGAACGGCGTCGACTGCAGCACCGCCGCTGTGGGCGTGCACGAGGTCCGGTGGCCCTGCGGGGCCCAAGAGGGCGGCTGCCGCCTGCGGGGCAGGGGGAGGCGGCCTTCCGATCTGGCGACTGCTTGCCCCTGCGATCGTTCGGGGGCTGGTTCATGCATGCGTGTAGAGGGTCGCCTTGCCTGGGCCCTCGGAGCTCCCGACGGGAGGAGCGACAGCGAACCCACCAACTGGGGCGCGCCAGCCTGCTGTCAAGAGCTCGCCCTCGCCCACGGAGCGCCTGGAGCTTCAGGGCGCCTGCGGACGGCGAGGCGAGGCGAGGCGAGGCGCGCCTGAGTCCGCCGGGGGGCGGGGCCTGGAAGGCCGGCGCGGGCGGGCCGGGGCCCTCAGTCACAGAAGTGGGATTTGTGGTCAATGCTGTGTGTGTCGTAGGAATGCGCAGCAGACCTGTGGTCGCTTGAGTGGCGGGGCGGGAGGAGGTGGAGGGGGGGGCAGGAGCAGCACCTGTGCGCGCCAACGTGCGTCGCCCGGCTGGAGGAGCGATCGTGAAGACGCGCGCCGCACAAGGACAGACGCCGCAGACGAGCTCAGAGAGGGCCCTCCTAATCGAGGTTGGTCTGGGGCGTTTGGCGCCGCCCTGTTCAACAGCGGTCGGCCCTGAGCGCTCGGCCCAAGCTCAGGAGGAGGAATAGTATGAGGAGGAGGAGGGGAACTCTGAAGGGGGCCAACGCAGAAGCTGAGTCGGGCCCGCCTCCAGGGCAGTCGCTTCAAGGGCTGGCCGGAGGCAGGAGATAGAGCATGAGGACCAGGAGGAAGAGCAGCAGGAGGACAAGGAGGCGACGGACGAGCAGGATGGAAAAAGATTAGGAAGAGGAGGAAGAGGAGAAGGAGGAGGGGGAGGAGGAGCACGACAAAGATGAGGAGGAGGAGGAGGAGAAGGGTGAGCAGGAGGGGCCGCAGGTGCGAGATCGCAAGAGGAAGAGGAGGAACGGCATGAGACGGAGAACGAGACAGAGAGGAAGAGGGAGGAGGAACGGCACAAGGAGCAGGAGGAGCAGGAGGAGGAGGCAAGAGCAAAGGCAGGAAGAGGGTGCCGAGGGGTCCACGAGCAGGAGCCGCAGCAGCAGGAGCGTGAGGGAAGGACGTAGTCACCGCGGAAGCAAACAGACCTCTGCGCGCCGCAGGGTGGGGCGCGAGGTCGCCGGGACAGCGTGACGCCCGTCTGCTCGCACACGTCGCTGAACTTGTCCGGGTTGAGCGACGGCTTCGGCGCCGGCACCTGGCGCTCTCTCGACGGGCTCCGCCGGAACAGGGGTCGGGCTGTGCCAGTCCCGGGACTGAGAGAGTTGCTCCGGCTCCTCGAGTGCGCAAGCCTGCGGTGCAGAGGAGGAGGAGGAGGAGGAGGAGGAGGAGGAGGAGGAGGAGGAGGAGGAGGAGGAGGAGGAGGAGTGAGGAGGACAGGACGGAGGTGTCCCCGCGAGGCAGGTGCGCTCGCGACGGGTCTGGCGTCCTGCCCCTCCCACGCATCCCTGCCCCATTGGCGCCGACTTCTCCACCAAAGGATCTCATGGTGGGCCTGGAGCCCTCCGAATGACCCCACCAGCTGGGGGAAGGGGGGGAGGGAGCATCGGGGAGGCGGAGCAGAGGGAGGAGGCACGGGGAGGGAGGCGAGCTGAGGAGGAAGAGGGGGCGGGGGAGGACAGGAGGGGCATGGACACGGGTCTGGAAGGAGGGAGGGGGGGGCGGGTCTGGAAGAAGGGAGGGGGGAAGGAGGGGGAGGGATATTTTTTGGTTCGCGGGGAGAGAGGAGGAGGAGGTTGGAGGAGGGGGGGGAGGTGGGGGGGAGGAGGGGGGGGGGGGCGGAGGGGGAAGGAGCGAGGCGCACAGGCCTCCTCCATGTCATCATCATCATCATCGTCCTGCTGCTGCTGCTGCTACTGCTCCTCTCCTCCGGCTCTTCGCTTCCTGCCGGCAGGGAAAGAGGGGGGTGCAGGAGGAGGAGGAGGAGAAAGAGGAGGAGGAGGTACAAGGAGATGCGAGGGAGGGGTGGAGGGAGGGGGAGGGAGAGATGGGGGGGAGAGGGAGGTTGGCAGGGGGAGGGGGACGAGGGGGGAGGGGTGGAAGGGGGAAGGAGGGGGGGCAAAAAGGGGAGTGGGAGAAGGGCAGAGGGAAGTCGGAGGGGTATAGGGGGGATGGAGAAGGGAGGACGGGAAGGAGAGTGGCACACAGGCCTTTAATTTCACCGCATCAGAACATCACCACAATCATTTACATCACCACCATACTCATCAGTATCATCATCAACATCCTCAACAGCATGACCATCGGCAGCATCGCTACCGCCACCATCACCGTTATTGCAATCGTTATCGTTATCGCCGTCATCGTCATCATCCTCACAACCACCTCATCATCATCATCATCATCATCATCATCATCATCATCATCATCATCATCATCATCATCATCATCATCTTCATCATCATCACCATCAACATCATCATCATCATTATCATCAGCAGCAGCAACCGCAGCAACATCAACAGCATCAGCATCATCATCATCGTCACCATTACCAGACGCGTCATCGTCAGCATCCACTTCATCAACATCATCAGCATCATCATCATCATCATCGTCGTCATCATCATGATCATCAAAATCACCATCACAATCACCATCATCATCATCATCAGCATCATCATCATCATCATCATCATTAGCATCATCATTAGCATCGTCATCATCATCAACATTATCATCGTCATAATCTCTATCCTCATCGTCATCGTCATCGTCATCGCCATCATCATCAGCACAATCAGCATCAGCATCATAATCAGCATCAGCATCAGTATCATAAGCATCATCATCATCACCATCACCACCATCACCACCATCACCATCATCATTACTATGATTAATATTATTATGGCATATGATATTCGGAATCATGATCGTTATCGTAATCATCATCAGCAGCAGCAGCAACATCAGCATTATCATCACCCTCGCCCTATCATTCTCATCACCACCATGATCATTATTATCACCAATCTCATCCTAATCAGCATCATCATTATCACCAGCATCGTTCGTATCATAATCATTGCAACAAATACCGACACCATGAACACTATCATCATCATCATCATCATCATCATCATCATCATCATCATCATCATCATCAGCATCATCATCAGCATCATCACCATCATCATCCTGCTGCTCCGCCTGGTCCTCCTGGTTGCCCTTGCTCCGATTCCCCCTTCTCTTTGGCCCGTCGCCCTAACGATATGTCTCAAAACCACCGCGTCTGACACGTGGTCACTCTGCCCTGAGGAGGGACAGGGGAAGGGCTGGTATACAAGAAGACGGAGGGGAAGGGCTGGTGTACAAGAAGACGGAGGGGAAGGACGAGTGGGGAAGATCCCCCGACCCCTCCTCCCCTGAGCTTGCGCCCACGCGTCCCTCAAAACAACCCACCCCACGCCATTTCCTCTTCCCCCACATTTACTCGCCCTCCTCATCTGCCACCACCAATCCCCTCCCGCCTCCTCCGTCGTCCTCCGTCATCCCCCCCCCCTCAGTCGGGATGCTGTTGGCCTGAGCAGCCGCCCCGGGTCAGGGGTCCTTCCCAGTCCTCGCGGTGCTGCACCGGGCCTCCTCGCAAGCAAGGACGCTACCATTCGGGCTGCCTCCGCCGCCGCCAACGCGCAGGCGCGGGCGGCCCGCACCCGAGGCCCTCCCGCCTGGCATGCTCCCTGCCCGGCGAGGCCGGCTGTGCGTGCCGCTGTGCGGAGGCTCGGCCGTGCGGCCCGGAGCGGGCCGCACGGCCACGCGTTGCCGACGACGTCCGTGACGTCCGCGACTCGGCGCGAGCCTGCGGCCTTGGCCGCTCCGGTCCAGTGAAGCCACCCCGCGTCGTTCACACCGGTGCTCTGTACCGCCGCCCACCCCGCGGGTGGGGACTGGCCTGGACACGCTGGTGGCCTGGCTGTCGTGGAGCCGAGGCCGCCGCCGGCCAATGTCCCCTCGGCAGCGCGCGCCACCTCGCAGCAGGTTGGCCCGACGGTCCGCCTGCCCGGGCCGCTCAGCCGCGCCTTCGCTGCTGAACCCCGGGCCTCGACTGGTGCGGTCTTCGTGGAGTTCGAGGTGCAGCACCGTTTCCTTCGGCGTGCCATCTTCGCCGCGCTCACCGCCCTGCCGTGCAGAGATCGCCAGCAGGGCCATCCAGGAGATCGTCGCCAGGGCCAAGCAGAGGATACTCGATCTTACGCACGGCCCTGCTGTGCTGGGACAGATAGACACTTTGCTTAGCAAATACGAGGGCCAGGAGGACATCATGCATTTCAGCGTAAGAAAGAAATGTGGAATCCACCCGATGCCATTCCGCCAACGCGGAGTGAGCCGACCTCTAGGTTATCTTGAGTTTCCAGACTGGTGTGTCTCAGCTTGTGTGCTTGCTTCGTATATAATCCTTTGCTCATGCATGTTCTCAAGTGTATGTATGCTCCTGTCTACTTTCTCGCCCACCGCAGTTGATGCAGTCGAGCACAGCTGAGCACCCAGGCCTCCGTCCGACGACAGCATCGCCCCCCGTCCTACCTCAATCTTCTTTCCTTCCAGCCCTCCCTCCTTCGCTCCACAAAGCTCCTGACCCTCCCAACCCCCCCTCGTCTTTTCTTCGTTTGGTTATCCTCTTCTACTCACGTGGCCACCTCAGTGGTTGTTC